TGGCCTGGTGGTCCCTGACCCCCACCCGCCCCTCCTCTCTTGCAGAAGATGCTGATGAAGCAGCAGGACCGGCTGGAGGAGCGGGAGCAGGACATCGAGGAGCAGCTCTACAAGCTGGAGTCCGACAAGCGGCTGGTCGAGGTAGGCAGCACCGGGGTTGTTGCCTGGGGCTCGGGTGTTGGCAGTGGGGCCGGGCTGTTGCTGGGCTGGTACCTCTCACGTGCCGGTGCTCCAGGACTTCAGGGGGCAAGGGAGCAGGGGCTGCTTGGTGTGAGAAGTTGTTGTGGCCGGACCTGTGTTTCCCAGCCACATCCAGGGTGGTCCAAAGGCTCCCACCATGTCTGCTAGGATCATGAAGCCTCCCTGGCAGAGGCAGGGTTGGGCGCACTGCGAACTGAGGATGTCTACAACACCCAGGAGCTGGGAGATCCAGGAGGACGGGCATCGGGAAGGGGAGATGCATCTCTCCACGGTGGAGCTGGGTGACCGGGGCCAGAAGCAGCCCTGTGGATCCAGTGAGATCCACCCAGACCCAGGAAGAGCCGTTCTCCATGCCGGCTGGACCGTGCAGGGAACGGGGGGATTGCAGCACGTATGAACGTCCCCGTGCTGGCCTGGCCCAGATAGCCCCGGCCACAGCTCCGACTCTGGGTCAAAGTCCTCTCCATTGCTGTTGCTCCCCTGTGAGCTGGACCAAGCCAGTGCGGGCTTGTGGCCAGCAACGCCTTCCTTCTGCAAAGCAGACACTTTTGCTAGAGCTCAACCCAGGAGTCCTGGTGCCGGGGGCAAGGCTGGCTTCTATCAGCATCCTCATGGGCAAATGGATGGAGAGGAAAGCCGAGGGGCTGGGTGGGGGCAGAGCCAGGAGTCCTGCAGGGCACGGGGAGGCGGGCGAGCGGGCAGGGCCTGGCAGATGCTGACCCTGGCACCCCGCAGGAGAAGGTGAGTCAGCTGAAGGACGAGGTGCGCCTGCAGTACGAGAAGATGCACCAGATCCTGGACGAGGACCTGCGCAAGACCATGGAGATCCTGGACAAGGCCCAGGCCAAGTTCTGCACCGAGAACGCGGCCCAGGTGCTGCACCTCAACGAGCGCATGCAGGAGGCCAAGAAGCTGCTCAGCTCCGTCCAGGTCATGTTCGACAAGACCGAGGACATCAACTTTATGAAGGTGAGGCCAGCACGCAGGAGGGATGGGGCAGCGGGTGCAGGGTGGGTGGGAGATGCTTTGGTGCCATGGGGGTCCCGGCTGTGCGCACTCCTGCTCTGGGTCCCTGGTGTCTGCTGGACTTGGACGTCTTCTGTGACGGCCGGAGCAGGGGGTTGCCGCAGGACCCTGGACTCTCGCTGGGGCGATGAGTGAGGGGGTGGCCCCGTTGGCCTGCACCTCCTCACCCCAAGCTCAGGGGCCAGGAGTCAACATCCACCCTTCCCTCGGTGGATCATCCCCCTTGCTCCCAGGGCTGCCAAAGCGATTGGGCTGGGAGAGATGGGGGCCGAAGACCTCTGGGGTGTCGGGAGGGTCGTGCGTGGGTTCTTGGGCCGGGATCGCAGGGGATGTGGCTCGGGATGGACGGGCTGCTGCGCTATCCAGGGGCAGGTTTGTGCCCAGGGGGAAATGCAGCATCCGAGAGCCCCCCTAGCTGGCGGTCCGGGCTCCAGGAGGGGGGGAGAAGTCCTGCCCCCAGGACTCAGCTGGGGGCTGCTGACAACGTTTCTCTCTTCCCTCCTAGAACACCAAGTCCGTGAAAATCTTAATGGACAGGTAAGTCCATGTCCTTCCAGAGCAGGCAGCGGGGGGGATGCTGTTCCCTGTACTTACCGTGTGCACTGGGGCCGGGCACTTGTTCCCTCTGTGCCTCAGTTTCCCTTGGGGGGCCCTCAGGCATGGGCAGCTCTAACAGGAGTTGGGGTGGGGCCTGCCTTGGGCTCAGCACGGAGGCAGTGCAGCCTGTGTCTCCCATCCTGGCCTTTCCTACATGGGGTCAGGGTGGCCAGTTTCCCCCTGGGGTGACCTTTGTGGGGGCACTTCTCAGCCCCCGGGGAGCTCAGAGCGGGGTGGGCTGAGGAGCAGAGCAGAGAGCGAGGGGAGGGCGGCGCTGATGGGATGGAGAGCATCCCGCCCGGGACGCACTGGCTCCACCCATGCCTGCCATGGCCAGAGAGCCAGGGGCATCCAGCAGGCGGTCAGTGTCCAGCCAACCCAGGAGGTGGAAAGGGGGCTTGGAGAGCTTGAGTGACCCCCGGTTTCTCCCTGCATCTTGGTACCTGTCCCTGAAGGACTCAGAACTGCACGGGTGGGAGCCTCCCCCCACCCAAGATCGGCCACCTCAACTCCAAGCTCTTCCTGAACGAGATCGCCAAGAAGGAGAAGCAGCTGAGGAAGCTGCTGGAGGGTGAGTGGCTCCCCCTTGCCCCTGCACGGGCAGCCCCCTCCCTCGCCGGGGCCGGATGCTGGAGCGGGAAAACCAGCCCGTACCTCCCTGATACCTCCTATCGCTCCCAATTGACACTGGTGGCGCGGGGCTGGGGTTTGGCTCTGGGCTGCACAAGAGCCCGAGTCTGCCCAGGCTGGCCAAGCGGCTCCCCCTGCGTCACCTGGTACCTGCCAGGGTGCTAATGACGAGCCACTTCCAGCGCTGAAACCTCAGTCTTGGCCGGGACCGGAAGTCTCCCGTTGACCGTGGTGGAAGGGGGGTCCGTGGAGGTTGGATGGCATCAGGGCTGGGCATACTGCTCCTCGCCCGTCGGCCCCCGGCACTCTGACCAGACCGTGCATGTGTCTCTCTCTCTCTCTTGCGCAGGTCCCTTCAGCACGCCGGTCCCCTTCCTGCAGAGCATCCCCATGTACCCCTGCAGCGTCAGCACCCCCGGCGCGGAGAAACGCAAGCACTCCGCGGCCTTCCCGGAAGGCAGCTTCCTCGAGCCATCATCCGGAGCGGTCGCGAGCCAGTACATGACCCAAGGGGCTTCGGCTGGCGAGGGCCAATCCGCACAACCCATGGTGCCTTGTAGCTCCACGCAGCACATCGTCGGACTTCCCAGCGGCCCCCAGCCCGTCCACTCCGGGGCTGTGTTCAACCCCTCCCACTACCCCAATAGCACATCATCTCAGCAGTCTGTGCTCTCCCAGTACGGCGGGCGCAAAATCCTTGTCTGCTCTGTGGACAACTGTTACTGTTCCTCGGTGTCCAACCACAGCGGGCACCAGCCCTACCCGCGGTCGGGCCACTTCCCCTGGACAGTCTCCTCGCAGGAATACTCCCACCCGCTGCCCCCCGCCCCGACTGTCCCCCAGTCGCTCCCGGGACTTGCCGTGAGGGAGTGGATTGACGCCTCCCAGCAGCACGGACGCCAGGATTTCTATAGAGTCTACGGTCAGCCTTCTGCCAAACACTATGTCACCAGTTAACCATCGCACTGGCCACGGAGTTGGGGTCGTCGTGCGTTCGGAGATCAACGCCCTGGTTTTTTTTTCTTCCTCGCTTTTTCTTTCGTTCTCTCCTTCCTTTCGAAAATCAAATCTGGTCTCCTCCTCCCCGCTGCCGCCGCCAGGACTGGTCTCTCGGCACCTTTCGCTTTGGAACCATTGTTTTTAATTTAATTTTGCAAACCTTCCTCCTCTCCCCTTTTGCTGGGTCATGCCTGCTTCGTTTGGGGTTGCTAAGCCTAAAAAAAAAAAAGAACAAAACAAAAAACAAACAAACAAAAAAAAAGGGGATGACCAGATCCTTTGCCATTTCCATGTCTCTGAGTTCTCCACGGCTTGGTTCGCTTTTCTTTTCCTTTCCTTTTTTTAAGAAAAAAAAGAAAATCTCTCGTATTCCATAAGAACCGATCCTTGTAGATTTGGGGTTTGGTAATTTTTTTTTTTTTTTTTAAAGGCTGATTTTATTTTATTTTTTTGTGTTAAAAGGCCCCTTCTCCTGCCTATGGGTGATTTTTTTTTTTTTTTCCGCCCCCCCCCTCTCTCTCCTTCCTTTTTTTTTGGAGATTTGTAAAAACACAAAGGCAGGAAATTTAATGCACAAGAAAATTAAAAAAAAAAAAAAAAAAGGGAAAAGCAACTTGGGAAAAAAAACCCACACAAAAAAAAAAACAAAAAAAACCCACAAAACAAACAAATAAATTCTGTTTTAGTTTCCGGGAGGGCGGAGACCGCGCGGCCGCGGCGGGCACGCCCCTTCCTGCGTATCGCTGATGCAATTTCCTGTAACAAGCACTTTGTATAAAACAAAAAGTGGACTTCCTGCTCTGAGGCACAGGTATTTATTCTGTAACCAATTTTAGAACACGGGGAAAAAAAATAACAAAAAAACCCACAAAAAAACAAAAAAAAACCCAACAAAAATATTCAAATAAATGTGATCACTTAGTGCAAATGCCTCGCTGTGCTGCGGCTCTGGTCCCGGGTTCTGGCCCGCCAGGCGCTGGACTTGGTTGGAAAATGGACCATTTTTACTTGTGCATTTATATGTGCATATGTATTCGGGTGTCGGCGGCGGTCTGAGGAACCCAGGTCCGCCGGGGGGCCGTGTTGGACCTGTGGCCTCGGGAGATGTGGCCAGTGTCAATCAGAGCCCCTCCTGCCTGCCTGGAGCTAGGTGATGTCTCAGCTTTTTAGCACGTGGGAGGGTGCAGGAGTGGCCGGGAGTAGTCATGGTCGCTGCCACGGGTGAGATCTTCCACCCCAGCCTGGCTCATGGGTGCAACATCCTTATGCCCCGAGTCCAGCCCTGCAGAGCCCAGGAGCAGAAAGGGAGGCTGAGACCTGCTGGGGTGCAGTACACAGCTGCCCATCGGTGTGGGTGTGCACACATGCGCATGTGTGGGCCGGCATGTGTGCACTGCCACAGAGCCGTGGTGTGCCAGCAGGAGCACAGGGCAAAGCAAGACCCAGCAGCAGCGTGTGCATGATTCAGGTCTGCTGGTGGAACTGGGACTTGGGTCTGCAGGGAGCTGCAAGCCTGGCTTACTCAGGCCAGCTACCACTTGCTCCAGCTCAGCTCCATGGGCAGTGCTGGCGTCTGCCCGTGGCAGCCGGAGTCTCAGTCTTTTCCCTCCGGAGTTTCTCTGCACCCATGGTCCTGTCCTCCTCCCCACCAACACGTTCTGCATAGCTGCGCGTTTGCCACAGCAGCCCTTTCCCCAGGTTGCACTGAGGGAAACTGAGGCACAGGGCATGAGTGGCCTACCCTGACCTCCGACCGCTCTGGGGCCAGGCACGTGTTCCCCTTCGGTGTATAGGGGCTGACTGGGGCAGGGTGTTGGCTCTGCTGCTCTAGCCGGGCCAGGGCACTCAGGGGAGGCCCTGGACAGACCCCTATCCCTGCCCAGGCTGCTGGGAGTAGAGGGGGCTTTCCCTTGCCTCTGTGGCAAGGATGTGCCAGCTGTGCACTGGGGGGCTGTAGCACTGGGGCAGCTGGAGCCCTGCTTCCTGGGCTGGGTGGTCCATCCCACAAGCTGGGGCCAGTCTCCATCTGGGCTCCTGGAGCCATGGGGCTGGCAGGGACCTGCGGGGTCACATCCATTCCCAGCTTGGCCTAGGGGAGGATCAGACCCATCCAAGCCAGCCCAGACAAACCCCGTGTCCAACTTTGAAGCCAGTGACGCAGTCACCCCCAACACAGCCCCAGGCATCGCCCCTGCCCCTGCCCCCAAGATGCAGGGGGGCTGCAGCTGTCAACGTCCTGCTGCTGCCGGGGGTGGTCATGGGCACTACAGAGACCCCAGGCCCACACCGTGCCCCTGCTGCAGAGGAAGGCAAAAACCCCCAGTGCAAACCAGTCTGAGCAGGGGGGAAATCCCTTCCTGACCCAGTGCAGCATGGGGGCGAGCCTGAGCATGGGGGCAAGACCCCCCGGCCAGCACCCTGCGGGGTCGGTGCCAGCAGGATCATTGGCACAGCCCAGCCCCATTCCCAGCCTGGTCTGCAGCACCACCAGCGCCTCAGGGGAGGCCTGTTCCCACCTGGGAAGTCTCTGCTGGAGTGTCCCGTGTGCTGCCCCTGGGTCTCAGGTTGGGCATCCTGTTCTGTCTGTCCCTCGAGGTCCCGGCTGCCCCTGTGGGCAACCTCCCCTATGCTAGTCCAGCAGGATTTCCCAGGGCAGCCCTCGGTGCATCCTTTCCATATCCCTGCCCAGGGACCCCCCCCTCGGCTACAGCCCCCCACTCCCGTGGAAGCGCCAGGTCAGTCAGAGCCAGACGTCTGTCTTCAGCCTTAATGACAGCGATCGTGGCCCAGCCATGCCCACTGCCTGCCGCCAGGCATTCCCCAGCACTGAGCTCCCCTCAGGATGGGGCCCCACCTCTGAGCAAGTGCCTTGCCCACCAACCCCCACCACCTAGTGCCCAACTGCAGGGCCCTTCCCAGCTGTATTTATCCAGCTTTGGCTCCACCCCTTTCCAAGCCCCACCTCCCAGCCCCCAGGCATGCTCAGTGGAGTCTCAGCAGCTTTAAAGGGATCTCAGTCTGCCTGCAACCTCTGTGGTGTGAAGGAAGGTGCTTGGTCTGGACCATTGCTTGCACCCAGTGCTGGGGGATCCTCCTTCATCCGTGCTATGATTTACAGTACTGACCTAGGCTAAGCAGGGGGGCAGGCTGCTCTGCCAGCTCCAGCTTATCCCAGGCACAGCCAATGTGTTGCACCAATGCCCTACGTGGCATGGGCAGCCTCTGTGTGTGGCACGTGGCAGATCAGGGAGGGAACAAGGAGCACAGCGGCAGGTAGAGCTGAAAGCAGAAAGCAGAGCAACGAGTCAGGCAGGGAGAAAAGAAGGCAGAGTAGTGTATCCGGCATGGGGCAGGGAGCAGAAAGCAGAGCAGCAGATCAGACCGGGAGCACAAGGTCAGAAGCAGAAAGCAGATGGGGAGGGAGCCCAGGCGAAGAAAAAGCAGGGTGGCAGATCCAGCACAGAGCATGGGGCAGGGAGCAGACAGCAGAGCAGTGGATCAGGCAGGGGAAGAGGATCAGAGCAGCAGTCGCCCCCACCTGCCACACAGGTCAGCCTCCGCTGGGTCGCACGACGTTGCCGACGCTTGGGTTTCCGGGCCCGCGCCAAGCCCGTTGGCGCCAGGCAGGAGAAATGGGGACGTGGAGGGAAGGGGCGAGTGCGGCCCTGGGGCTGGTGTCAGCTCGGGTCTCGCTCGCGCGTCGGGTCCCTGCCTGACTTGTGGCCTCGGCTCCTGGTTACAGACCTCGGGACGTGGCTTAGCCAAGCTGGGGGCCCCAGGGCAAGCCTCGTTGCCGGGCGTGCGGGTTTGCAGCTGCCCTGGGGAGCTGCTGAGACCCCAAAGACTGTCCCAGCCAGGCGCCTGCGCCTCCCTGCCCCTCAGCCCAGCCCCGGGGAGGTGTCGCCCGGCCTGTCCTGGTGCCCGGGCTGCCCCCAGGGGTGCCCTAGTGTAGCCAAGGCCCCATGCCTCACTGGAGAGGTGCTCAGGGCACGTCCCTCTGGCTCTGTGCCGAGACCTGCTCTTCCTGGCCGCCATCGGGGTTCTCGGCCTAACTCCTGCCCTGCCGCACCAGCACCTGCGTTGCAGAGCCTGCCGGGCTCAGACACCTCTTAAAAGCCAGCCTAAAATAGGCAGCCTCCAAGGCAGGCCCACAGCCTTGCAAGGCTTTCAAGCAGCTCTGCAGCAGGGAGATGCTTTCAGCCGACCCCAGGACTCAAACTCAGACCCTGGGGGTCCCCCAGGCACAGGAGTCGCTGCTTGGCTAATGCAAATCTCTCGCTGCCGCCTGGCATGCTGGTGTTAGAGCGCTCCTAAATCTCCAGGGCCGCAGCGTTCCTGGGGCAGGGCCGGGTGCAACGTCTTGCGCGGTATCGGGGTTGACTACGGGGGATGGAGGCGCTGGGTTTGTCTGGGCTGGTCTGGACAGGGCTGATCCTGCCTCCTGGGCTAGACGGCTCCAGGACCCCGACTGACCCTCCGCCCTTCTCCCCAGGTGCGGCAGGCTGCAAGCCCGGCTGGGATGTCACCGGCTGAGGGGTAAGTCGGGGGCTTCCTCCCCACGCCTGCCACCCGTTGGGTCTCGGGCACTTTCCCTCTGGTCCCCGAGCCCGGTGCCCTGCAGGGGCAGCATCCGTGCCGCGGGCAAGTCTCTCGCGGAGGTTCGGGGCACGACCGGGGCAGGGTCCGTCCCTGCTCTCCCGGGTGACCCCTGTTCGTGCGGCCCACTGTGCTATTGGCATCTTTGTCCGTCGTATTATCCCGCTGGCTCCTTCAGCCTGGGGTCCGAGGAGACGTGCTGAGCTGCACCCTCCTCTCCCCGACAGCCGGAGCCTGAGTCTGGGGGAGGCATTTCCACACATTTTTTGCTCCTTGTTTCCATCTTGTGCTGGGCCTCCACCGCTGATTTCCCAGGGTGCCGGCGGGAAGGGCAAGCACCTGATGTCTTATTGATGGGGGCAGGGGGACGAGGGGTGCTAGAAACAGCCCATCCACGAACAGCTCAAGCCGCGACCGGGGAGAGATGGATGAGGAGCCGCGTGAGGAAGATGGACGAGCTGGCCCAGCCAGACCGGTGCTTGCTGAAGGATGCGCGGCTGGGTGGGAGACGGAGACTGAGGACGAACATCTGGATCTGGGCGCAAACATCTGGACGCCCGGGACGGGCGGGAGGGCAGCTTCTCCGATAACGGCGGTGGTTTTTACTGGGTGTCGTCGGTAGCTTGGGGGGGCCCGTTAACATGGGCTGGTGCTCCCACCGCTGGGGCCTGAGCCCCAGTGAGATGAAGTCTCAGCTTCCCCCTGCAGCGTTGGGGCCAAACGCAACGCGCAGGAGGGGAGAAACGGG